ATCGATTGATGACTGGATTCGGTTGCGTGTTGCTCGGCAACAACAGCACCCACCAACAACAACAACACCCACCAGAAACAACACCCACCACCAACAACAGCAACACCACCACCAACAACAACAACACCAACACCAGCAACAACAAAACCCCCACCACCAACAACAACAACAGCAACACCCACCACCAGAAACAACCAACGCCCGCCACCACCAGCAACCAGCACCCACCACCAGCAACAGCACCCACCACCACCAGCAACAACAGCAATACCACCGCCAGCAACAGCACCCACCAGCAACAACAACAGCACCCACCACCAGGAAACAACACCCACCACCACCAGCAACAACCAGCACCCGCCAGCAGCAACAACCAGCGCCCACCACCAGAAAATAACCAGCGCCCACCACCACCAGCAACCAACGCCCCACCGGCAACAACAACAGCACCACCAGCAACAACAAACACCCACCACCAACGCAACAACAACAAACCAGCCAACAACAACACCACCAACAGCAACAACAAGCACCCACCACCAGAGCAACAACGCCCACCACCACCAGCAAGCAACACACCCACCACCACCAGCAAAACCAGCACCCGCCACCAACAACAACCAGCCTACCGGCAGCAACAGCACTTACCAACAGCAAGCAACACACCCGCCACCAGAAACAGCAACCCCCACCACCACCATGGCCCGGCACCCGCAACAACCAACGCCACCGGCGAAGCAACAACAGCGATACCAGCGGCAAGCAAGCGCCACCAGCAGCAAGCAACGCCCACCACCAGACCAGCAACACCCGCCGCCACCCAGCAGCAAACAACGTACCAGCGAGCAAGCAAGCGCCCCGCAACCACCAGCAAGCAACGCCCGCATCAGCAACCAGCGCCCCACCGCCAGCCAGCAACAGCAACCACCACCACCAACCCAACCAGCACCCGCCACCAGCAGCCAGCAACAGCAACGCCAGCAACCAACAGCACATACCACCAGCAGCAACAACAACCAACCGGCAACAACAGCACCCTCCACCAGAACAACCAGCCGCCCGCCACCAACAGAGCAACCAGCACCCACCACCACCAGCAACGAAAAGCAACACCCGCACCACCGGCAACAACACCCACCACCACCAACAACAGCCCACCACCAGCAACAACAAGCAACACCAGCAACAACCAAGCACCCCACCAACAGCAACAACCAGCACCCCACCACCAGAGCAACCAAGCACCCACCACCACCGGCAACAACAGCACCCACCACCAGCAGCAACAGCACCCACCAGCAGCAACGCCACCAGCAACAACAGCAACACCACCGAAACAACCAGCACCCACCACCACCAGCAACAACACCCACACACCACCAGCAACAACCAACGCCACCAGCAAACGCAACGCCCACCAGCAACAACAGCAACACTTCCGCCACCCAGAACAACAACGCCCGCCGCACTAAGCAAGCACCCACCACCAGCAACAACAGCAATACCGGCAACAACCAGCGCCCACCAACAGCAACCAGCAATGACGCCACCACCACCAGCAAGCAAACCGCCACCACCACCAGCCCAGCAACAGCCACCAGCAGCAAGCAAGCACCCACCAACAGCAACAGCCAAGCACCCGCCACCCAGAACCAACCAAGCACCCACCACCAACAGCAAGCAACAGCACCACCACCAGCAACCAGCGCCCACCACCAGCAAGCAACAACGCCCACCACCAGAGCAACAGCACCCACCACCAGGCAACCAGCACCCCACCACCACCAGAACCTAACCAACGCCACCACCGCCAGGAAACAGCAGCACCCACCACCACCAGCAACAACAAGCGCACCACCACCAGCAACAACACTGCCCGCGACAAGCAATGACGCACGCCAACAGCAACCAGCGCCCCGCCACCACCGGCAAGCAACCAAGCACGCCGCACCGACCGGCAAACAACGCCCCACCACCACCAGCAACAACCAACACCCACCACCAGCCAGCAGCGCACCCACCACCACCGGCAACAACAACGCCACCGCCACCAGCGGCAACACCGGCAAGCAACCAGCGCCGCCAGCCAGCGACAAATTCCTGCCAGAACGACGACACCCACCACCGCCGGCGGCAACCAGCACCCGCCACCGGCGGCAGCAACCGGCACCGCCAGCAGCAATAGCGCACCACCAGCAAGCAGCAAGACGCACCAGCGTAAACAGCGCCGCCAACTGACAACAACGAGCACCCACCAAGCAACCAGCGCCACCACCAGAACCAATAGCACCGCCACGCCAGAACAACCAGCGCCCGCCACCAGAGCAATGACACCCACCACCGCCAGCAACAAACCAGCACCCCGCACCACCAACGCAACGCCCGCAGCGGCAACAGCGCCCGCCAGCAGCAACCAGCACCCACCACCACCAGCAGCAACCAACACCACCAGCAACCAGCAACACCACCACCGCCACCCAACAACCAGCACCCACCACCCAAGCAACCAAGCCCACCAACAGCAACCAACCGATACCAGCAGCAACAGCACCCCACCACCGCCAGCAACCAACACCCACCACCAGCGGCAAGCAACCCAGCACCCACCAGCAACAACCACCACCAGCGGCAAACAGCAACGCACCAGCCAGCACCCCACGAACAACCAGCACACCCACCACCACCAGCAACCAAGCACCCACCAACCAGCAACAACCAGCGCCCACCAGCAACCAACAGCACCCACCACCAGCAGCAACAACCAGCACCCACCAGCAGCAAGACACCCACCGCCACCACCAGCAACAACAGCGCCACCAGCAACAGCAACGCCACCAGCAACCAGCACCCCACCACCACCAGCAACAGCACCACCAACAGCCAGCAACAACCACCAGCCAGCAACCAACGCCCGCCGGGACAACGCCCACCAGCAACAGCAACAGCAGCCACCAGCAACAACCAGCACCGCCAGCAACCAGCACCCACCACCACCAGCAACCAGCACCCACCACCAGCAACAGCAACAACCAGCAACCGCAGCACAGCAAGCACCCACCAGCAACCAAGCACCCACCACCACCGGCCAACCAGCACCCCACCACCACCAGCAACAGCAAGCCCACCAGCAACAACAACAACCGCCAGAACAACGCCCACCAGCAAGCAAGACAACCGGCACCGGCACAGCAACGCCACCAGCAAACAGCACCCACCACCGCCAGCAACCAGCACCCACCGCCACCACCAGCAAGCAACAACACCCACCACCACCAGCAGCAACCAGCACCCACCGCCACCAGCAAGCAACACCCCACCACCAGCAGCAGCAACCAGCGCCATCAACAACAACAACGCCCACCAACCAACAGCACCCACCACCACCAGCAACAACAACGCCCCGCAACAACCAACACCCACCACCACCAGCAACCAAGCGCCCACCAGCGGCAACCAAACAACCAAGCGCCCATCGGCAGCAGCAAGCACTGCAAGCAACCAGCGCCCCACCACCAGCAGCAAACGCCCACCGCACCAGCAAGCAGCATCAGCCGCCACCAGCCAGCAAGCGCCCGCCACCGAGCAGCAACCAGCAATACCGAGCGAAACCAACAACCCGCCCGCCGAGCAACCAGCACCCACCACCGCCACCGGCAACAGCACACCCAGCAGCAACCAGCGCCACCAGCGAGCAGCACCCCACCACCGCAGCGGCAACCAGCACCCACCACCACGGCAACAACAGCACCCACCACCACCAGCAACAGCAAGCACGCCCCGCCACCGGCAAGCAAACGCCCACCGCCAGCGACAGCACCACCACCCACCGGCAGCAACCAGCGCCTGCCAGCAGCAACCAGCGCACCACCAGCCAACAACGCACACCACCACCGGCAACAGCGCCTGCCAGCAGCAACAATAAGACCCACCAGCAACAACCAGCACTACCAGCAACCAGCACCCACCGCCACCGGCCAACAGCGCCCCACCACCGCCAGCCCGGCAACAGCGCCCACCACCAGCAGCAACCAACACCCACCGCCACCAACAACAACACCCACCACCAGCAGCAAAGCCACCACCGCCAGCAAGCAACCAGCACCCACCACCAGCAGCAAGCAAGCCCGCCCACCACCAGCAACAACAACGCCACCACCAGCAGCCAGCAACGGCACCCACCGGCAACAACCAGCGCCACCAGCAGCCAGCACCCCACCACCACCAGCCGACAACCAGCACCCACCGCCAGCAGCACCCACCGCCCAGCCAGCAACACCCACCACCACCGGCAACAGCGCCCACCGGCACCACGGCGACAACCCACCAGCAACAACAACCAGCACCCACCACCGGCAGCAACAAGCACCACCACCAGCAACAACCAACGCACACCACCACCAGCCAACCAGCGCCCACCACCGCCAGCAACACCCCACCACCACCAGCCAACCCACCCACCGCCGCCGGCAGCAACCAGACGCCCACCGGCCCAGCAACAGCACCCACCACCAGCAACAACCAGCACCCACCACCAGCAAGCAAGCAACGCCCCACCAGCCAACAACCAACCAGCACCCACCACCACCAGCAGCAACGCCACCGGCGCCGAGCAGCAAGCAGCCACCAGCAAGCAAGCAAGCAAGCACCCACCACCACCAGCAACCAGCACCCACCACCACCAGCAACAACAGCACCCCACCACCACCGGCAACCAGCGCACACCACCGCAGCAACCAGCACCCACCTGCACCAGCAACAGCCAGCCACCCACCAGCAGCAACAGCACCCACCACCACCAGCAACAGCGCCCACCACCACCAGCAACGAAGCACGCACCACCACCGGCAACAACCAGCACCCCACCGCCAGCCAGCAACCAGCACCCACCACCAGCAAAACACCCGCCACCACCAGCAACAGCCACCACCAGCAACAACCAAGCACCCGCCACCAGCAACAGCACCCACCACCACCGGCAACAGCACCCACCACCACCAGCAGCAACGCCACACCGCAGCAGCAAACCAGCGCCTGCCAGCGAACAACAGCACTCCACCACCGCAAGCAACAACGCACACCAGCACCGGCAACCAGCGTACCGGCAACAGCAACCAACGCACCCGCCACCACCAACAACAGCGCCCACCGCCACCGGCAACAACCAGCACCACCACCACCAGCAACAACGCCCACCGCCGCCGGCAACAAGCGCCCGCCACCAGCAACAACCAAGCGCCCACCAGCCAGCAACAGCGCCACCACCACCAGCAGCAACGCCGCAACAGCACACACCACCACCAGCAACCAAGCACCCACCACCAGCAACCAACGCCCACCACCAGCAACAACCAGCACCCGCCAACCGACAACACCCACCACCACCAGCCAACCAGCACACCACCGCCACCAGCAACAACGCCCACCAGCCACCCGCCACCAGCAGCAACAACGCCTGCCAGCAGCAACCAGCACCCACCACCAGCAACAAGCACCCACCACCACAGCCAGCAACCAGCGCCCCTGCAGCAAGCAGCGCACACCACCACCAGCAACCAATGACACCCGCCACCACCAGCAACAGCAAGCGCCCCACCAGCAACCAAGCGCCCCACCACCAGCAGCAGCACCCACCTGCCAGCAAGCAACACCCACCACCAGCCAGCAACCAGCGCCCACCAGCAACCAGCACCCACCGCCACCAGCCAGCAACCAGCACCCACCACCAGCCAGCAACCAGCGCCCCACCACCGGCAACCAAGCACCCTGCACCCATCGGCAACCAGCACCCACCAGCCAACCAACACCCACCACCACCGGCAAAACCAGCACCCACCACCGCCAGCGGCAAACCAGCGCCACCAGCCAACCAGCACCCGCCGCCACCAGCCAAGCAACCAGCGCCCGCCAGCCAACCAACACGCACCGCCACCAGCAGCAACCAAGCGCCCACCACCAGCAAGCAAACGCCCCACCGCCAGCAACCAGCACCCCACCGCCACCAGCAAGCAACCAGCACCCACCACCACCAGCCAACCAGCACACACCGCCAAAGCAAGCAGCAACGCCCGCACCCATGCAACGCCTGGCAACCAGCACGCACCACCACCAGCAACAACCAGCGCCCGCCAGCAACAGCACCACGCCAGCAACAGCACCCACCGCCGGCAACGGCACCCGCCACCAGCCAACAAGCGCCTGCCAGCCAGCAGCGCCCCGCCTGCCAGCAACCAGCACCCACCGCCGCGACAACGCCCACCGCCACCAGCAAACCAGCGCCCGCACCGCCGGCAACAGCCCACCTGCCACCGAACCAGCAAACGCCACCACCAGCACAGCAACAGCGCCTGCCACCAGCGGCAGACGCCCACCAGCGCCAGCAAACCAGCGATACCGAAGCCACAGCAACCAACGCGCCCACCAGCAACCCAACCAGCACCCCCGCCGCCCAGCAAGCAAAAGCCACCCCGCCACCGCCAGCAACCAGCACACCGCCACCGGCAACCAGCGCACCGCCACCAGCGAGCAACAGCGCCCCACCGAGCAACAACCAGCACCCCTGCACCACCGCCAGCAGCACGACCAGCACCCACCACCAGCGCATGAAGCACCCGCCACCAGCCAGCAACCAGCGCCGCCACCAGCAACCCAGCGCCCCACCACCGCCAGCCAGCAACCAGCACCCACCAGCAGCAAGCGCCCACCGCCAGCCAAGACACCCGCCTGCACCGGCAACCAAGCAACGCACCAGCGGCAGCACCCGCCGCGGCAACAACCAGCACACCACCAGCAGCAAAACAACGCCCACCGCCACCAGCCAACAACCAGCGCCCACCAAGCAACCAGCACCCACCACCGCCAGCCAACGGCCTCGGCAACAAGCAAACGCCCACCAGCAAGCCAACCAGCACCCACCGCCAACCGAGCGCAGCAATGACGCCCGGCAGCAGCACCGCCACCACCAGAGCAAACCAGCGCCACCAGCAACCAGCACCCACCGCCACCAGCAACCAAGCACCCCACCACCAGCAGCAATATCGCCCACCGGCAACGCACCACCGTCGGCAACCAGCACCCGCCACCACCGACAACCAGCACCCGCCACCACCAGCAGCAGCAGCGCCCGCCAGCCAGCAAGCAGCACCCACCACCGCACCAGCCAACCAACACCCGCACCGGCCAGCAGGCAACCAGCGCCACCAGCAGCAAGCAACCCCGCCACCAGCAGCAACAGCACCCGCCGCCGCCAGCGCAACCAGCGCCCACCACCACCAGCCAACCAACCAGCACCCACCGGCAACAGCCACCACCGCCGGCAACCAAGCGCCACCAGCAACCAGCACACCACCAGCAGCAACAAAGCACTACCACCACCAGCCAACAAGCGCCCACCGCCACCAGCCAACCAGCAAGCGCCCACCAGCGAAGCAACCAGCCCTGCCGCCACCAACCACGCCCGGCAACCAACTGCCAGCAACCAGCACCCACCGCCGCCACCAGCAAGCAAGCAGCACCCACCACCACCAGCAACCAGCAAGCGCCCCGCCGCCACCAGCAACCAGCGCACCGCCACCAGCCAGCAGCACCCAGCACCACCAGCAAAACCCACCCCACCGCCAGCAAAGCGCCCGCCACCACCAGCAAGCAAGACACCCACCACCAGCAACCAGCACCCACCGCCAGCAGCAAACAGCGCCCCACGGCCAGCAAGCAACGCACCAGCAATGCTACCAGCACCAGCCAGCGCCCCACCAGCAAGCAACGCCCCACCGCCACCAGCAACCAGCACCACCGCCAACAGCAACAACCGCCCACCAGCGCCAGCCAACCAGCAATACCAGCAGCAAGCAACCAGCACCCACCACCACCAGCAACCAAGCACCACCCGGCACCAGCAACCAACCAGCACCCACCACCACCAGCAACCAGCACCCACCACCACCAGCAACCAGCACCCACCAGCCCGGCAACCAGCACCCACCGCCACCAGCCGCCAGCAACGCACACCAGCCCAGCAGCGCACCCACCAGCAGCACCAGCACCCACCACGCAGCAACACCCACCGTGACAGCACCACCGCCGAGCCAATGCGCCCACCGCCACCGGCAACCAAGCACCCACCACCACCAGCCAAGCAACAAGCACCCCACCGGCAACAGCACCCACCGCCACCAGCGACAACGCTCCCCAGCAGCAGCAACAGCCGCCCACCGGCAACAACAGCACCTGCACCACCGCCAAGCAACGCCCAGCCAGCAACGCCCCGGCCAACCAGCGCCCACCACCGGCAACCAACAACGCCCACCAGCAAAGCAACGCCCACCGCCGGCCAGCCGCCCCACCACCAGCAACAACGCCCGCCGGCCAACAACACCCACCACCATCGGCAGCAACCAGCACCCACCACCACCAGCAAACCAGCGCCCACCACCACCAGCAACAGCAACGCCCCACCGGCAAGCAACAGCACCCACCACCGCCAGCAACCAGCGCCCCACCCCCAGCAACAACCAAGCACCCACCAGCAACAGCAAGCACCTGCACCACCACCAGCAACAACAACACCCCACCACCAGCAACAACAGCACCCACCACCACCAGCAACAACAACACCCACCAGCAACAACACCCACCACCACCAGCAACCAACACCCACCAGCAACAACACCCACCACCACCAGCAACAACAACACCCACCACCACCAGCAGCAACACCCGCACCACCAGCAACAACAACACCCACCAGCAGCAACAACACCTACCGCACCAACCAACGCAGCAACAACGCAGCAAGACAACACCACCACCGCCACCAGCAACAACAACACCCACCACCATCGGCAACAACACCCACCACCAGCAGCAACGCCCACCACGCCACCAACAACAACGCCCACCACCACCAGCAAAACGCACCACCACCAACAAAAGCACCCACCACCACCAGCAACAACAACACCCACCACCACCAGCAACAACGCCACCACCAGCAGCAACACCCGCCACCAGCAACAGCACCCATCCAGCAGCCATCCTACCAGCAACAGCACCACTACCAGCAACAGCACCCACCACCACCAAGCAACACCCACCACCAGAAACATCACCCACCACCACCGGCAGCAACAACGCCCACCGGTAGCAACAGCACACCCACCACCACCAGCAACCAACGCCCACCAGCAACAGCCAGACCACCAGCAACAACAGCACCTACCACCAACAGCACCCACACCACCAGCAACAGCACCCACCAGCAACAACAACACCCGTACCAGCAACAACCTCCACCACCAGCAACACCCAGCAACAACACCCACCACCACCAGCAAACAACACCCAGCAACCAACACCCACCAGCAACAACGCAGCAACAACACCCCACCACCACCAGCAACAACAACACCCACACCAGCCAACAACACCCACACCATCGGCAACAACAACACCCACCACCACCAGCAACAACACCCACCACCAGCAACCAAGCACCCCGCCACCACCAGCAAAAACACCCACCACCACCAACCAACACCACCACCACCAGCAACAAGCACCCACCACCACCAGCAACAACACCACTACCAGCAACAGCACCCACCACCACCAGCAACAACACCCCACCACCAGCAAAAACACCCACCACCAACAACACCACCACCAGCCAAAAACACACCACCACCAACAAAAACCCGCCACCACCAGCAACAACAACACCCACCACCACCAGCAACAACCAACGCCGCAGCAACAACACCGCCACCAGCCCAAAAACACCCACCACCACCAGCAAAACGCACACACCACCAGCAACAACCAGCGCCCACCACCACCGGCAACAACAACACCCTGCACCACCAGCAACAACAGCACACCAGCAACCAACACCCACCACCACCAGCAAAACACCCACACCACCAGCAAAAACACCCACCACCCGCCAGCAACAGCAGCACCCACCACCAGCAGCAACACCCACCAGCAACAACACCCGCCACCAGCAACAACACCCGCCACCACCAGCAACAACACCACCACCAGCAACAACACCCACCACCACCAGCAAAACACCACCACCACCAGCAAAAGAAACCCACCACCACCAGCAACAACAGCACCACCACCAGCAACAACACCCACCACCACCAGCAACCAACACCCACCACCACCAGCAACAACGCCCCACCACCACCAGCAAAAACACCCACCACCGCCAGCAAAAACCACCCACCACCAGCAACAACAACACCCACCACCACCAGCAACAACACCCACTACCAGCAAGCAAGCACCCACCACCACCAGCAACAGCACCCGCACCACCAGCAAAAACGCCACCACCACCAGAGCATCACCCACCACCACCAGCGGCAACAGCGCCACCAGCAGCAACAGCACCACCACCACCAGCAGCAACACCCACTACCACGGCAACAACGCCCACCACCAACAACAACGCCACCACCAACAAAAACACCACCAGAGCAGCATCCCACACCCACCAGCAGCAAAGCAACACCCACACCAGCAGCAACAACACCCACCACCACCGGCGACAGCAAAACCACCACCAGCAACAACACTTCACACCACCAGCAACAACACCCACCACCCAGCAACAACACCCACCACCACCAGCAGCAAAAGCCCACCACCGGCAACAGCACCCACCACCACTAGCAACAACAACACCCACCACAGCCAGCAACAACACCCACCACCACCAGCAACAACACCCACCACCAGCAACAACATCCACTATCAGCAACAACATCCACCAGCTACAGCAACAACACCCACCAGCAGCAACAACAACAAAATTCACCACCAACAACACCCCACCACCACCAGCAACCAGCACCCACCACCAGCAAAAGCAACAACAACGCCCACCACCAGCAACAACAGCACCCACCACCAGAAACAACAACACCCCACCACCAGCAACAACAACACCCACCACCAGCAACAACACCCCACCACCAGCAACAACCAGCACCCACCACCAGCAACAACATCACCCACCACCAGCAACAACAACTCCCAGCAACGACCAGCACCCCCACCGCCCAGCAACACCCACCACCAGCAACCAACAGCTCCCAGCAACGACAACACCCACCACCACCAGCAACACCCACCACCGACCAGCAACAACAACGCCACCAACAGCAACAACAACCCCAGCAACGACAACACCACCACCACCAACAACACCCACCACCACCAGCAACAACCAACACCACCAGCAGCAACAACAACTCCCAGCAACAACAACACCCACCACCGCCAACAACAACACCCACCACCACCAACATCCACTCCAACAACAACACCCACAACCACAAACAACAACACCCACCACCAGCAACAACAACAACACCCACCACCAGCAACAACACCAACCAGCAACAACACCGACCACCAGCAACAACACCCACCACCACCAGCAACAACACCCACCACCACCAGGAACAACACCCCCACCAGCAACACAACCCACCAGCAACAACACCCACCAGCACCACCACCAACACCCAATCAACACCACGAAAACCCTCAACCACCAAAACCCACCACCACCAACACCCGCAACCACCAACACCCACAACCACGAAAACCCACCATCAACACCACCACCAAAACCCACCCCACCAACCCCACCAGCAACACCACTAACACACACAACCACCAACACCCACCACCTTGAATAGTTCTCTTGACAAATGTGAATGACAAAGTGTGCGGCCAGACATACTGCCTCACACTCTTGTACTCACGCAGTAGTAAATAAGTTACCCTTGTGTACCAGAACTAAACAAATAATGTAATTGAAATACTGTGTAACATTCAGTGCCATAATATCCTGACCATGGGGGTTAATTATTCTGACCCTTTGTCAACTTTACTCTGTAATCCTTTTGCGCTACCACTCAC